CTAGAGGATCCCTTAAGGGACACGTTCACGGAAATAGAATGCACACGTTACTGTAGAGGAAGTAAACATTAAATTGGGCGTGCAACAGATCATTAATTAATAGTTATGACACGTGTTTAGACACGTGTAGAGAGTAGAGACAGCAATCAGTCGCAGAACCAGGAGTAGGCATCTGTAGAACACTTCTCTCGAACAGAATTAGCTCTTTTGCCACCCCAAGATACTCTTTTTAGTGAAGAAACACCAGGAATATTTACAAGTAGCCACTCGAGTAGCCATTTTGCCTTAATTATTAGGGGCGCGGCCGCACATTATGAATAGTTATCAACACTAAACGTCATCATTAATGATGTCATCTTGAAAAACAGGCCAGTTTTTCAAGATGACGTGCTTCCGTGCGTGTGTCCCTTTAAGTTTGGGCTCACTGGCTCAGCTCACGTGACTATTAGAGGTGTGGCAAATTTGCGCCTCATGGTGCCTTCACTGCCTTGAAGTTGATGGATAGTAGCAACAAGCCCAGTAATAAAGGTATTGTAAAGGTACTGAACAGTTTTCACATTATTAAACTATTAGGTAGAGAGAAGAGACAGCTTGGAGCGGCTAGTATCATTCTAGAACTACCCAATGAGGTGAGGTGTGGACTGTGGAGTGTGTGTTATATATATGTAATGTATGATTTTATTTTGACAGCCTGTGAGACAAGTACAAAGATGGCTAATAAGAGAACCCCAGCGTGGTTAGTGTAGCATTTACTGACTTAAATTATTTGAGTTATGGTTTTTGAAAAAATTCCTGTACTATAGTTGTTGTGCAAGTCTATAGAGGATATGTGTGCTAAGTATATTCATAACTTTTAAGTACTGTATATCCAACCCACACAGTAAATTGGCCACCATGTTGGACGTCGAGTTTATTAAGAGTTCAATGGAGGAAAACACATTTTCTTGCCTTGCTACCTTCTTGAAGCCTTTTTCTGAAGCTTAGAAAGCATCCTGAGGATCTAATGGGGTCTAGTAGTCACCTGAAAGATTGCTATCAAGAAATACAGAGCGGTTTCCTGGTACCAAGCCTTTTTCTATCATTTCTCCATTGCTGCCAATGGAAAGTTGACGTCCAAAGAACTAATTTTTCTTGAAAGTTATTACGGTATACAATGAATACATATATTTTGCAATGAATATTATCACGCATATCCTCTATTTTAAAGTCATTTGGACTGTCCACAAATCTGTAGGCTTAGGAATGGTCTGGTTAGCGAGACTATTGTTGTGTCTAATTTTAAATGCATTATACAGTGAAACCTCTGTATAGACCCCATTAATTTTGCAGACCTGACCCATCCTGGGAGAAAGGGTCAGGTAGCAAACTTAATATCAATTTGTCCCCTATACAGTACACGTGTGCGGTTGAGTCAATGTGCATCGCATGATATGTCATCGTTCGTATGCTTACAATTTACGAGTATATTAACTACAAATACGTTGCTAGTGATGGTAGCTGTTTGCCTGAGCGTTTGCCTTTAATAGAAGAGTAGTGATTTAACTGAGCCAACTAAGTGTTTTGAATGTATGAATTAGCTTTATCAGATGAAATTAGTCGAAAAGAAAAAACTCTGGCCTCTCCTGTGTTTGTCATAAAGCATATTGTATTTCATTGAGTAAAAGCCACCCCCGAGTAGCCACCTTATTTAAATAGATGCCCTCCTGGACCAGAAATAGTTGTCGCCACACAGCATATAATATTATTCATTAGTAATTAACTAGTAAAATGGTGGATTTGTCCTAATTCAGTAGCTGCTTTGTCCTATTATATACGGAGAATTAAGAGTAACCTATCATCTGTAATTGCCCACCTTTGAAACATTACATGACATATACATGTAGATAAAATGTACTCACCTGTATGAGCTTTAGTATAGCACTCGACTCTCAAATGTAACAGAAGCCAGTGACATATAATACTAAGTAATGATTTATTACTAATATCTTAGTTCATATATCTGCAGTAAAAGATAACAACTGGCCTTTTCTAGCTGCTTGACTACTTCAGTACTTCTCCTTTTACTTCAGCTTCATTCCTTGGTAGAACTGTGTCAGTAAAATACTTTAGGCTTGGAATTTTATATCAACACTCTGAGGTATTTAGTAATTGGGCAAAGCCACTATCACTGAACAAAAGAAGCCTGAAAGTTCACTGGAATGAATTCATTAATTTTTCTGTGAACTTGTATAGAAAGTGAGTCATTGATGTTCCAAACACAAGATGCTTGAAAGCAAGTATCCAGAGATACATATAACTGGTGTTAACTGGCTCTATGGTCGGACCTTTTGTTGCTGTTGACTTTAGTTCTTTATACTTGTATACCTTGTTGTGCTTCACTGAATGTGTTACTAAATTAGTTGTGTTGATAGTTCTTGCTGCCACGAGGAATGTTAGTTTGACACTCATTAATATTGCCAAATGTGTATCTGCAGCTAATTATAAAGAAGTTCCAGATGGGAGATTATTTGCTGTCCCTAACCCACGTTTTAATGTGCATACATGTAACCATGTGTAGTTTTTTTTATTGGTGACATGTTGATGGCTGATAACCAATCTAGCCAAAGGGAGTGACATATCAGCCGATACGATTATCAGTGCATCACAAATTGAAATGGCGTGTTAAATCATTTAGAGAGGAGACACAACTACAGCAACAGAAGTAGTCCTTTGTTTTAAACTATTGTATACCCAAGGAAGGCATCCATAACTATACAGACTCTTTCCATATCCTGTAGGCAAAGAAACAAAATAATTTTTTCCAGACAAAAAACTTAAAATGGCAACTTTCTGCTTCTCTTTCAGTGTATCGAATCCTAAATTAACATTAACATCATTCAATATCAGCATTTCCAGTTTATTACTCAACATTTTGCAGCCTTGTCATAGTGATGTCACATAATGATCTACAATCTCATTGGGAATCACAAATTTGTGCACTGGAGATAAGTTGTTATCAAGCTTGCTACTGAACCCTTTCTTCTTGGGATGGATCGGGCCTGTGAGACTAAGACCCTATAGAGTTCTAACTAATATAGATACTGTATATGATCTTCCAAACAACTCCTAATACAAGAGGTATGGTGAATGAGACAGTTGTGAACTTCCACTGCATATATCTCAGCGAACTTTACATTTCTGTTTAATCTACTATATAGCTGGTAATTTTCGTGGGTGCTGTATTAAATGGATTTTCCCAGATTTTATTTTTGCGAATCAGGAAAGAATCCACAAAATTTTCAACCCTCGAAAATAACCACTTATACAGTATTCTCATCCTTTGTTATTCCTCGAAAAACATGAGCTTGAATACAACTGGTATACTTGATTGCAATGCCATTATATTTGACAAAATTGTGGAAATTGGAGCTGTTGTATTTTTCTTCGATGCAAAACATGAATACAACTTGGTCACTGCATTTCTGAATGCTTTGAGTACTCTTATGATGTTGTTTATGGCTGCAATATCTTTTGGCTGGGGCACAAGCCATCCTTGAATGAAATAATTTTGAAATTTGTTGGATGGCAATACCAGTTCAAAGCCAATGGATAGGAGGCCAAAAGCAGCCTTTGTGGACAAGCCATTGAGTGGAGGGAATTTTTTTCTCAAGGAGACATTCTGGCCTTATTCTTTACCATTACTAGCGTTTATTATCACTCAGACTGCCTCTACATGATAGCTCCAAATCCCTCCAATGATATGAAACTTAATCACTATAACATACTATACCATTTTATTCTATACTAATCTATACTATTTTATAATGCTCATGAATCTATGATTCTTCCTAACCCTCTCATCACCTTCCTCAATCTCAGTTAATACCAACCCTCTCGTAAGCCCTCTTGTTTGTTCTTTTTTCCTTATTACTTGCATAAATTAGTGCCATATAAGGTTTATAGCGGTCACCTGAGGGAACAGGTTTTTTGGCTGTTATAGAGGAGTGACCTTTTATGGCGTGTTGTTTGTTTCATTGTGGTGAATAGTAAAAATGACTCGTGAAAAACCCATAGCTCAGTAAACACTAATAATCAAGTCAAAATAATAATAAAAGGCATTCAATTTCATTTGAAATCTAAATTGACAATATGATCAGTAGTTATGCTTATAATACTGTCTCTGGCGTCTTTTTTGTCTAGTCCTCTTCTGGCTAATTCTTCTTCATATTAATGCAGATGTTGTTGCACTTTGTCATATTGAATGGAAAGGTGCTGTAGATGAAATTTCAGTACATTCTTTATTGATATCTGCTTCAAAATTTTTGTCTCTGGCATGGTACTTCTTTTGTTTTTGAGAATAATTAATACTAACACATTCACTCACTTAATACAGAACCTTCTGGTAAAAAGTTGTCAATAGGAACAAGAAAAATTTCCCCTATTTTGCTATTCAGCAAGTCTTTTATATGCATGGACTCCATCTATGCTTCTATGGCCATTTCACTATATGATGAGCTGTGCATCCACTCCTGCATGACATAGTGACCCTGGAAATGACGATTGACCAGTTTTATGAAATATCAGTCTTAAAGTATTTCCTTTATGTTCTCAATGTTAGCTTCTTGTGATTCACTGTCAGCCAAAATGATTTATATTTTCTTTTAATTCTTATCAAGTATAAAGGAGGGGAGAAAGTATAGGAACTGATAGATAACAATAACAAAGACTCTAAACACAAATAACAATAATAATAAAGTATGATAATATATTTTATTTCTTTATTTTGATGACACAGTCATTTTCTACTTGACTACAATAGTAACCTCATTTATTTATGTATAATTTGATATTGTCAGTCACATGACAGACATAAATCTAAACAAAAAACCCACTACTGAGAGGGAGGCTGGAATCAGCTGTATCAGAGCATTTGATGATAATCTCTGATCTCTGGGGATTAAGAAAGAGACCTCACTCTGTAAACTGGAGGTATCACTGCACAGGAAGGGATGGTGCAAGACCTTCCAAAATTAAATCATCAAGATAGGCAACACAAACGTGGAGCTATAGGGTAATTTTTAATGGGAGAGGACCCAAAGGGCCACCCTGTTTGACCTCTTCAGATGAATTCAAGGAGGCTAAAACACAAAGGGAAAAATTTGTAAAACAAATAGATTTTAACATACATTTTTTCCTAACAAATTGGAGGCATTTCAGAAGTCTAACTTGATTACAGCTTCATCTGGTGCTGAACTCTCTAGACCAGCATGTACTGTGCAGCTTTTAGGTATCGTTCCTAATAGGTGACTTTGATGGAGATGCATCAATACCAATGGTTATCTACACTACAAAGTGAATTTGATAGTATTTGAGCTAATCCTGTCTACAAGCCATCTCTTGAGAAACATGACTCCAAGTGAGTTTGGCAACCAGCCTCCCCAAGGCATAACCAATGGTGATGAGGCAAATACCTCCACCTTGCTTATTGAAAAGCTTAAACAATAAGGCCTAACGGGGTATGTTGTATTGCTATTCATCACAAGGATAGAAAAACTAGCAATAGCAGAGAGGAATGGGAAAAGGAGAGACAACAGAATGTGCTGGGTTCTAAGACTTTGTGAGTGTGGTGGCCTCATTGTGAGTGTGAGATAATAATTATGTATAGTTATTATTATTTTGATAGTTATGCGATGTTAACATCCTGTGTGGTTTCTTATTATTTCCTGTATCCATGTTTATAAGTATGTGTGTGTTGTTCTGTCTGGACACTCATTTTCTTTACTCTTCTGATGTTCTCTTTCTTCTATCATATTGTATTACATT